CTATATTAGTGAGCAAGGAAGCCCACTTTACCTTGCAACAACAATTAATCGATCCTGACGGGCGGCACATATTTTTGAAAGGCGACTGCGGTGGTCAGACTTTGACCTTGGCAAATGTGTACTTTCCAAATACAGCTCATATCACCTTTTGTAATAGCGTAATTCAGGAACTGAAGGGTTTTGCTTCAGGATGCCTAGTATTAGGGGGCAATTCTAATATCCCGCTGAACCCACTGGTAGATACTTCTAATGGGAAATCTTGTGTAACATATACGATTCTTAAAAGGATCAAAACCCTTTTGCAATCTCTGCTTTTAGTGGATACTTGGAGAACACTGTTCCCGGAGGGCAAAGATTATACTTTCCATTCAATACCACACAATAAATATTCGAGAATTGACTATCTATTTGTTTCCCAGAGAGACCTGATCTTTCTCAAACACGACGCTATAGGCATTCAATCACTTTCAGACCATGCCCCCATAGCTATGACGTTGGATATAGTCTCATCCAAGCCAAAACATTTTAATTGGAGACTTAATTCTTCCTTGATTACTGATAACATTACCAGTCAGCATTTAGCTGAGCAAATTAAACTTTTTTTTCTAAATCAACCCAATGAGTGAAACGTCACCATTAATCACATGGGAAGCACATAAATGCGCGATAAGGGAGGAACTTATAAAAATTGGCTCTAAATGTAAAAAGGAATACGAGTTCAAACTCAGGACACTTTCCCAAACTATCTCAGCTCTAGAACAGATGAGTAAATAATCTAAGGCCTGTAGGGTTAATATTGAACTTATGGAAGCACATACTGCTTTACGCCATTTACTAGACCTCAAAGCAAAAAGAATTATTTTTTTTCAAAAAAATTATTTATTATGAGCAGGGGGACAACAGAGGCAGATTCCTGGCTAGGGCTTTGAAAGACGCTACTACGGCCTCCAATATTTTTTCCATTAAGAATTAAGATGGTAAACTAGAATTTGAGTCTGGTATGATTGCTTCTCAATTCCATTTATACTATTCCAAATTGTACAATTTACCTACCCAGCACAAACCCCCAGAATTACTGAAAAATAGATTGCAAGGTTTGGGGGAATACCTGGAGAATAGTGGGTTACCATCTTTAAGGAAGATTGACGACCTCGAGAGACCAATTAGAGAAGAGGAACTATTGCAGGCCATTAGAGATCTTAAACCTAGGAAAAGCCCTGGGTACACGGCCATTTATTATAAGATATATGCTGAAATACCTAAAATACCTTTTCTGGCAGTTTTAAACTTCCTGACACAAAACCAACCCATTCCTACTTCTTTCCTTACTGGTCACATCACTGTTCTCCCTAAGCTTTGGACTGTGCAAACTATAGACCTATTTCTTTGTTAAATTTGGATCCTAAACGTTTGGCAAAGATACTTGCTAACAGACTCAGGCCTCTTCTTAATCACATTATAGGCCCCAAACAGTCCGGTTTCATGCCTGGTAGGGAAACCAGAGATAACGTGGTTAAAGCCGTAAATGTAATTCACCTGGCTAAACATTATAGATTAGAAGGACTTCTCCTTTCCACAGATGTAGAGAAGGCATTTGATAGGGTGGCCTGGGATTTTATATGGGCAACATGTGAACATAGAGGCCTACAGTCTAATATGCTTTCATGGATCAAAACATTGTATGCGGGACCTAACGCCATAATAAAAATCAATAATAATACTCTCTCACGGAATACATATATCGAATGGCACCAGACAGGGCTGCCGTCTCTCGCCACTACTGTTCATCTTGACGTTTGAACCCTTTATCAGATCTGTGAACTTAAGCCCCTGTTACAGGATTCCATGTCATTGGTAAGGAGTTTAAAATAGCTGCATATGCGGATGACATACTTTTCTTCATCATACAACCGCATACCTCAGTCCCTAATTTAATTCAGGAGTTCACCACATTTGGATTCCTTTCAAACATGATAATTCATTTCAACAAATCAGAAGCATTGAACTTAACTTTATCGCCTGAGATAGTCGCTATGATACAACAGAAATGCCCTTTTACATGGGTACACAAAGCCTTAAAGTATTTAGGAATTGGACTTACACCCAATACTTCCTCACACTTTGATCACAACTTTGTCCCACTGCTCTCTTCTATTGAACAAGACCTTAAACTGTGGAATACCAAATTGTTTTCTTGGTTTGGCAGGGCGGCCATATTGAAGATGTCTATTCTACCTAGGGTCCTGTATGTAATGCATGCCTTACCGATAAAGATACCACACAGCTTTTTCAAACACCTTCAATCACTTCAAATTCAGTTTTTATGGTCTCACAAGAAGCCTAGAATATGCTTTCACTTGATAACACTGCTTAAAGCAAAAGGAGGCATGGGTTTACCAGACTTCAAGATGTATTATGTCACACATCTTACAAGAGTGTTAAATTGGTACTGTAGTTCAGGATTGAAAGACTGGATAGACTTGGAGGCGGGATCCGTCCCTTTTCCCCTAAAATGTTCCTCTTGGTTACCATGGTCTGGAATACCCACAGCAATAAAAAAGCACCCTTTAATAAGGACCACATTAGAAATTCTCCACGTAATATCCAAAACTACCTGTACTTCTTTTATGCTAGGTCCCCTCACTCCACTGGCACATAATCCAAATTTGACATCAGGGATTCTTAATCACAGGCTTTTCTTTCGGAATAATGATACACCACTTTCAGGTCACCACTGCATTCATAAAGGTACAGTGAATCCTTATAACTCATTTAAAACAGATTGCAACTCTCTCACAATGCCTTTATGGGCCTACTTTCAGCTATGCAATTTTCTGAACAAGAACAGGTGTAGTTTTTTGCGTTCCCTGAATGCCTTCAAATCTTTATGTTACAAACACTGTAGAGTGGAGAGACCAACTTCCTGTTCCCATTCCTGGCTCTGGCAATACAAATCATCTTGCACTGCAAAACTCAAATCCCTCTGGGAATCGTCATTGGAAATAAAGATACCAGACGATCAATGGGAAAAAGCATGTATACTAGCACATAAATGTTCCATTAGTACTAAAACTCAAGAATTGACTTATAAAACATTGACATAATGGTACACTACACTGGTTAAGATAAATAAATGGTTCCCCCAAGCTTCTGATCTTTGCTGGAGATATGAAAAGGAACCAGGTACCTTTGTCCATATTTGATGGCAATACTCTAAAATCCTTCCATATTGGACATTGATAAAGCATCTAATTGTCAAAATTACAAGTACATCCCTGGAACTTTCACCCGAATGCTGTTTACAGCATTTGACTATGCATTTACTTAATATGGCCAAATCGCTGATTCCCATACACTAGAAGTCAACCTCATCTCCCACCGTTAGAGAGTGGATCCAAAAGTTAGATCTGATGTATGAGATGGAGGAAACTATAACCACAGCTTCTGATGATGCTAAGCACTTTAAAAAGATTTGGAAGGAATTGTTTATGTTCACTCTTTTTGACACTTATGCCAGACTTACAGGTCTGGATAGCTGAATTAAAAGAGTGGACTTTGCTTTACTCTTTATTCTGATATGATATCCATGGGTTTGAGATTACTAGTCTTGATGAAACTGGCAGATCTTGCTATATCCACCACACCATACTGATCGAATATCTTAAACAAAATTAGCCAGCGCAAGTAATACCTATACCAATCACTTAAATCACACTAAATACATAAATGTGAAGAAAATTAGCAATGAATAAGACACTCTCAAAACAAAAAAAATATACAATGATAATAATAAATGTGAATGTGCCCAAAGCACTTTGGTGCATAAGATTATATATATAAAGGAATTTAAAAAGTCCACAGATCCTTTTCCCAGCCTTCACAGTGTATAGAAAAAAGAAAGAAAAAATCTTCTGTACATATGTGCTTCCACCTTCCACCAGTGCAAACCAACATGAACCGCACTCACCAGATAATGGTGAGTAGTAAGCCTTTTAGGAATTTCAGGGATCCTACACCCCCTCTATAACCTCCAGACCAACATTCCACCGTACAGGGCCAGCGTTGTCCTTTCACTCCTTTCTAAATCAGGACCTTCAAACCAGCTCCAGCGTTGTGTCAAAGAGAAAATATCATGTAGTGTAATATTGCCAAACTATCACCAACCCTTAGAAATGTATATCAAACCACTCACAATTTCCAAATAGAATAAAAACATGTTTTATTATCCTCCATCGATAGGAAAGCAGATACTGGACCGGAAGTGCGTCGACGCGTTTCGCCCCTCCCACCGGGCGTTTTCAAGATCTTTTCACGCCGAGCGGGCGTTTAGATCAGGGGACTGTTTAGACCCTTGATATTACACCAAACCCCCCCGCCCACCCTACCTACCCACTGAGCTGTATAAAAATGTAAAAAGTATAATAAAAAACATAAATGTTACCTGTTACTCTATGGGGATGCAGCGGTTGTCCAAACAGGCAGGTCCTAATTTGACAGGTATGCAGGTGCAGGTGCAGGTAAGCAGCCAAAAAGCACAATCTCTGTACAAAAATCCCAACCTATAACTGACTTTTTTAGCACGGTGCACATAGAAGGGCAACGCACATCAGAAACAAGCAAAGAATTTCCCAGCACAGTTACCAGCCAGCCAAAAAAGCAATCAAATTGGCCCTGTCTGACAGTTTACATTAAAAGTAGGGTTTGTTTGCACACATTTGCAAATATATGCATAAGCTACAGTGCCCACGTCAAGGGACCTCTGTATATACTGCAGTCCTAAATCTAAATTTCCAGAGCCTCCATAGTAGAAGCAAATATATAAAATGAATAGATTTAGGGCAGGTATGCCTGGATGGAGTCCACTGCTCCTTAACCGCCTCCCGCCCGCCATATAAGGTAATGACGGGCGCAAGTTGGTTATCTCATCCTGGGAGGACGTCATATGACGTCTTCCCACTCTAAGCGCGCATGTGCGGCTCTGGACTATCGGTGGTGCACTGTGTCCCTCAGACACAGCAGATCACCGATCAACGGAAAGAGCAGAAGATGTCGGCTCAGTCATGTGATCAGCTGTGTCCAATCACAGCTGATCACATATAAATAGGGAAATGTCGGTTATCGGCATTTCTCTCCTCACGAGCTGTCGCGCTGACAGCTCGTGAGGAGTGGAGAGCCGGTAATCGGCATCCTTCAGAGGGGACATGTACACTGATCATCAGGGCACTGATGATCAGTGTGCCCTGATGATCAGTGTAGCCCCAGCAGTGCCACCTGTCAGTGTCCATCAATGCCAGCTGTCAGTGCCCATCAATGCCACCTGCCAGTGCCCATCAGTGTCCACATCAATGCCGCATATCAGAGCCTACCAGTGCAGATCAATGCCACATATCAGTGCCCATCTGAGCTGCCTTTCAGTGTCACCTATCAGTGCCAGTCAGTGCCACCTATCAATGCCAGTCAGTGCCACCTATCAGTGCTGCCAATCAGTGCCACCTATCAGTGCCAGTCAGTGCTGCCTATCAGTGCCAGTCGGTACCACCTATCAGTGTACATCAGTGCCGCCTATCAGTGCCCGTCAGTGCTTCCTATCAGTTCCGCCTATCAGTGTCATATATGAGTGCTGCCTTTCAGTGCCCATCAGTGATGCCTGTCAATGCCCATCAGTGCCACCTACCAGTGCCCCCTCATCAGTGCCCATCAGTGCCACCTATCAGTGTCCATCACTGCAGCCTCATTGGCGCACATCAGTGAAGGAGAAAAATCACTTATATACAAAATTTTATAACAAAAGCTGAGAAAAAAAACACTTTGATTAGGGAAAAACTCCTTAATATTGGCAATGTTTTCCATCAATCTGGTTTGTAATGTGCGTACCGTGCGTACCACATATTGAAACCCACATGGGAACTGAATAAGATACATCACATTCTTAGTAGTGCAGGCAATAAACTCCTTAAGTTTATAGGATTTTTGAGTGGCTACAGAACGAAAGTCTTTCTACATTTAAATGCATTATTCTTACAAACAGTACATTTTTTACAAGGAAAATAGCCTGTAAGAGATTGGAAAAAGGACTGATTTTTAGGGGGGACTGTAGCCATGCCCCTGACAACATCATTGATGACAAAATACGTTGGGTGGAGCCATAGCATATGGCATCATCGTGCACTGGAACGTGGTGGCCATCTTATTGGTTTGAAAATATCTTTGATGCTTACGGAGACATGAGTTGATGATGTACGTGCATTACTATTTATTCAATAAATGACTTCTATTTACTACCCTATGAGGATTATTTCTTTGTTTTGGAATATCCTATATGAGGTCATGAGGAATTTAGGTGTTGTTCGATTGAAGTACCATTATTAAGGATGGAAGTTCAAGACATACTATTAATCCAGTGATTGTTTCTGTGAAACATACAGCACTTATTGACCTTCCTTTGGGGATCAGAAGTATCCGGTAAGGGGCAGTGTGTTTGGTGTTGGTGGAGGACCCTGTATTTCCCCTTTGATGTTTCCTTTGGACACACATTGGATTTATGTTGTTGGTCCAACACTGGACTTTTTACATTATATATGTTGAACTTTTTGTATTTAGTTTATTCTTGTTAGACACTTAGCGCTGCATTTTTCATTTGTTATAGTTTGTGTATTTTAACCAAATTGGTCCTGTCTAACTATCAACAACTGGCTTGGTGTGGTTGCCATGGTTTTGTACAGATGGATGAATTTGGGTGCAGGGATGCACTGAGTGCCTTTTCTGTCTGTGCCTTTAAGGAAGACTGGTGGTCCCCTGTGGAGGACTCCAGTATTTTATGCTTTTATTTTTTATTTACCCTTTCCAAATTTTTCCAGGCCAGGAACATGATGATACAGGGTCCTCTTCCAGTTTGCCTCTTCTTTGGGCAGGGTTGTCCTTTGTATTGCAGAAATTGATGCTGTCATGATCACAGCAGAGCTGCATTTGGCATTATTACATGTTAATAATCAAAATCCTCAAATCCCTGCCCTCGTAGGATATCTTCGGTCTTCCAGTTTTAATGACAGTAGGTGAACAGGGGTTACAGTGGGAGACAGTGCTGGAAAGGAGGTATTGAAGCCAGACCTGCTTCCTTGTCTTTATCACCAGCTGGAAGACCTTTAAAAAAGTTGGACTTTACCTATTTTCTACTTTACAAAAAAAAAGAAAAAGGTTGACTGACATCATGACTTAAAATGATACCTATGTTTCATAAAGGAAAATTTATGCTCACAACATACACTTTCATTTTATATTATCAGCATTGTAATAACAATCCAATATAGGAATACTTGAAAAATCTCCTTTCATGTTGTGAGTTCTGCCTTTCTCCTGGTCATCTCTTTTCACAACTTCCTGGATTCCCTGCATACTTTTCAGCTTATCTGCGGTTTACTTTCCGTTTCTAAGGATGACATATCCCATGGTACCTTGCTTGTCTGCAACGTGATTTCTGTAATAATTTCACCTCCTGAAACTCCTCTCAGCATCTCTGTAGTTCAGAAGGCAGGCTCTGTGAAATATGTGACACAGCAGTGCTTGAAGGACATAGTGAATCTGTTTCATAGAATTCAAATGTGTGGAGATCTTCACAAAGTAAGTTTACAAACTTCGAGATCATTCAGATTGATAGGAGAAGGCTAGAAATATTTGAAATACAATTTGAAAATGAATATATGAATTTACATTTTGATCATAGGTATGCTTTAAGTTGGGAGGGCTACTAAATCAGGTTATTTGATCTCTTAAACTAGAAACCAAGACTTGGTTGTTTTTTGTCCCCCTGCCCTCCACCACTGCAACAAAAAAGAAAACATTTGCGTCCTTGATTCGGCTAGTGCACTCTGCCAAGTGTATACATATGCCTTAGTTTTTCTAACTTCTCTCTTAGTGTATAAATAAAAGCCATGGGGACCCCATATATAATAATGTAGGTTGGTAAGATAGTGGTAGGTAGAGCTTGCAATCTATTATGTCTATTAGGCTTAATAAAGGAGAATACATATAGTAGATGGGCATACAATTTATTAGAGATAAAGGTAGGTAGAAAAAGGTAGAAAAGTGAAGTCCATTGGATAATAATGTGCCTTAAAATGAGTGATTGTTCATCCCTTCTGCTTGATATACCATTGTATATTGTTTCCTTGTACTTACATTCCATTACCTACGATATTGTTATGTGACTATAAACAGATTTTTCTCTTGGCTGCGCCCACTCTACAGCTCATGTGGGTAATTATCTTTTTCTTGTTCTTGTTTTGAAAATTAATAAAAAAAACTATTGAAACAAAAAAAAGGTAGAAAAGAATGCAGAAGGTACCCTTTCTCTCGTTTCCCTTCCATCCAACGCCTTTTTCCTTCATAAGTCTGTTTTGCTTGGTGTCTATTAAAGGTTCTTGCAGTAAAAGCCAAGGAAGCTTAGACCTCTGCAGTGTATTAATATTTGCTTTACTAAACAAAAGACCGCACATACAACTTCTGGAAAAACAATTCATAGCATGCAAAGTATAACAAAATATGCCTACAACATGCACAAGCTGACTATCTACTATATGTGATAGGCATAGACTAAAACAATTGCTTAACTTAGGTCTTTCTTTATGATGGAGTCATCTTCTAGGATCCAGGACTGCTTCCTGCTTCTGCCACAGTCCTCTAACACACTGTTTCCTCTATCAAGTCTCCAGAAACACTGCTTCTTCTGCAAAGGCCCTAGAGCAACTCTTGAACTTTTGCCTTTAGAACAAGTCTCCTTTGTTTGACTACATGGCTTGTTCAAAAGTCATTTTTCCCCTCTCCCCTATTTCCTGTACATCACATCCTGTAAGGAGCTTCCTGTACTGCTCATAACCAGTCAAACTGGTTCATTAGCATATCAGTAAAGGGAGCCTAGCTTCAAACATAGCACATGTAACTTAAAAATCACACATCCAAGCTATAAAAATCACCACATATCCATAGAAAGACTGTTTTCTTCATTTAATGGAAAAAAATATGCTGATTTGATAATATAATTATATTGTACATATTTTTATTAATTTTGGCAATAAAGATTGGTTTTACATAGAGGAAAGAATAGGATTAATGTTGAAAATTTTTGTATATTAATAAGAAGATTGTGAAGGAGCATATCTATTGCAGGTAGGTAGGTAGTCTTTTTCCTTTTCCTTGGGGGCCCCCTCAGGATACCAATGATCACACCTGGACACAGCCATGAGATCTCGGAAAGTGAATGCACTCAAGTCACCTCAGTTGCAATTGCAAACACTTCAGCATGATTGGCACAACATCAGGGTTTTTATACTGTAGCCTTTGGGCAGACACACCTTCAGACCATCCAATCAAATACATGTGCATTATTTTTACCTTGACTCAACAATTATTTGTATGAAGTCTGCATTTACATTTTTCTGCCTTATCTTTCACACCATATCTGGTCTAATGCCCAGACCATGGCTATAATCTGGCCCAACACCCAAGCTGTGGTTACAACTTGTCAGAAATGAGAGTAAAGGTTATCTCCTTTTTTGTAAAGTTTGCAAAAACACTTATTTCTACATAAAGATTTTTTTTTAGTGTGTACAAAGTTCATATATATGTGTATGTTAAACAAGCATCTTGTATTAGTGTATACAAAATGGATTTCATTATATTCCATTAATCCTTTCATCTATGTGTATATAAATACTCCTACTTCCCCGTAATTGCTTATTCTATGGGCTGAAACGCATCAGACAGAAGTGTAGAGGTCCTAATTTCTTCAATAAAAATGTTTTAGGGCTAGTTCACACTGCATGCTTTTCAGTTGTTTTTTTCTGCATCCAAAACACACAGAAAATAGGTTATATGGTTGTCTGTGTCATAGTTCACATCAGTGCTTGCAGTTCCGGTGCCTTCCGGATGCAGAAATAAAAGTAGAACACGCTGCATTTTTTCTGCACAGAACTGTACTGGAACATGGTAAAACGCATCAAAAACGCACCAGGAGGCACAAAAAAACACACAGGAATACACATGCCCCTATTTAAATTTAAGAAAAAGAGAGGGAAAAAAATTAACTGGAATACATAAAAAATACACTGCGACACATCAAAATGCACCAGCACGCACCAAAAACGCATCAAAAACATGCATGCAAAAATGCATCTGGACTGTATTTCTATAGTGTGAACTGGCTCTTAAAGCTATTATGACTAGCAGTGTGTGTGGCTTCTCATTTGTACTATGCATGTTTTCTTCTTTGTTTTGGGATGGGTACAGCAGCGGCTAAAAATGGACAGGTTTTTTGCCAATTCACTGAGCTGCAAACAGGTAGGTTTGGGTTGAACTCATATTCTAACAGAACCTGAAGCACACCCCTATTCCACAGAGCCCGCAGCTGCAGAGGTCAGTGAGGGCTTGTTTTAAAGCACAATTACTGCTTAAAAATATTTTAAACAATAGAATTGTTAAACATGTAAAAACAAGCCTATAGCTACAC